TTATTTTTTATTTATTTTAACAATTTTTTAAATTTTTTTTTTCTTTCAATTTATAGTATTTTAAAAAAGAAAAGGAAAATGATGGTAAATATTACTTTATTTAATTAAATTTAATAATTGATATTATATATACTAATTAAAATTATTTTTTTTTGGTAAAAGAAAAAAATTATTTTAAGTATCTTGTTATTTATGATTTTATTTAGTGTCTCTATAAGTTTAGCAAGTGATGAAGATCTAAATAGTAATGGAGATGTAGATTGTTATAGTAGTTGCGTAGATGAAAATAGAGATGTCTGTAAAACCGAATGGCAACAATGTGTATCATTAATGGAGCGTTGTAGAACTAACTGTGATAAAACTTCTAAAAAAATGATACAAATGAATTAAATATATATTATTATTTAAATTAAATAAAACTATTTATTACATTATTAAAAAAAAGTTTTTATTTTGTATTTTTTATTTATTTATATATATTGGTAAATTCCCTCATATACAGTTATATTTATTAAATTAAAAAAATTATATTGTCCAAATTTTATGTATATTTTAATTTTTATAGTAAAAAGAAAAAAAAAAAATTTTAATATAAAAGATTGAATTTAATTTTTAAAAAAAAAAAAAAAAAAACACACAAAATTTTAAATTGGTGTTAATAGTAACATTATATAAAATGGTATTTTATTTATTTATATTATTAAATATCAAAGTAAAATAAAATATAATAACTAGTTTTTTTTTTAAGGAACAAAAAATTATTTTAGGTTTTATAATATTTTTATTATTTTTTGTTTTACTAGTAAAATCGGAAATAAACTATAGAAACGAAGATTGTTACAAAGAATGTGTAGAAAGAAGAAATTGCATACCAAACAAGTATCATCAAGGACCTCAATGTTTAGTTGCCATGCACGAGTGTTCACTAACTTGTAACAATTAATAATATTATAATAAATATTACATATTATTTGAATTTAATAGTAATTCTAAATAATAATCTTTAATTTAAAATTAATTAAAAAATTAATAACTCTAATGTTGTTATTATCTTTTAATATTATTAAAATTATTTTTTATTAATTATATTTTTTTTATAGTATAAATACCTCTTTTTTTTTTACAAATATAATATTTTATAATATTTTACACCTTATTTAAAAATGGTACCTAAAAAAACTAATAATTTTTATATTTTAAAGTAAACTAATATTAACTATATTTTAATTCTAGAATTATAAATTTATTATTTTCTTTACTTTATTAATTACATTGTTTGCTATTCAATTTTCAGCCGCTACTACTGATGGGGCAGTTGGAGACTGTGTAAAAGATTGTTTAAAAAAACATAACTGCTCTAGCCATTTTAGTTTAAAGGAATGTGCAGGTCATTTATATAGTTGCAACCATGATTGCATTAAAAACAATTAAAAATAAAAATAAAATATAAATTTTAAAAACATAATAATCTTTATTTTATTTATTAAATTGAACAAATTTAAATGAATCTATTGGTTTGTTTTTATATCTTTTACCCATTTCATTTGCGGTTAACATGGCATTATAAATATCTTGATCATCAACTTTTTGAGGTAAATTGACCATTGTATCGTTTTTATCATTTGCGATAGAAGCGACCTTATGCCATTGCTCCACATCCCAATTCTTTAAGCCCAAATCTTCCACGGTTAATGGTAGATTTGCAATCTTCATTATTCTAAAAACATTTTCAATTTCTTCATGAGCAGCATTCTCTAATACTAACTGGGTTAATAATCCAAATGCAACCTTTTCTCCGTGTTGAGCTCTATGTAAATCTGGAATAATACTATGGTAATTAAATTAATAAAACTATATTATATATATTAATAATATATTAAATACTTACCTCATTCCGTTACAAACAGCATGTGCTGCAGCAAGACCACCTGACTCAGCGCCTATACCAGATAAATATATTGTTGCTTCTATCATTTGTTCAAAAGCTGGTGTAATTGCTTTGTTTTTAACTGCATCCATTGCTTTGTCTATATTGTCACTTATAATTTCATAACACATTTTTGAAACACCTAGGCCTATCCTTGATGGCTTCATATTGACCAAATTATTACCAGTTGTTTGATAACAAGCTCGGGCCTCGAAATATGTTGCTAAAGCATCACCAACACCTGCTGAAAAAAATCTTGGTGGTGCATTTATTAAAACAGTAGTGTCAACTAAAATTGAATCGGGGTTTTGTGGAAGATAAAGATACTTGTCAAATTCTCCATTGCCTTTATATAGAACAGAAAGTGAAGTACATGGTGCATCTGTTGAAGCAATAGTAGGCATTAATATTACGGGTAATCTTTCATAATATGCAACGGCTTTTGCAGAGTCAAGAGTTTTCCCACCACCAATACCTACAACAATATCATTCTTGAATTTCTTGGTTAATGCGCACAATCTATCTACTTCTTCTTTGGTACATTGATAATTAAATTGCTCTATGTGACTCTTGATATTTTCTTTATTTAAAGAAACCTCTGTATGTTGTTTAATTGTATCTAAAAAAACAACATCGCATATAATAAAACAATTACTTCCAAAATCTTTTATATATTTTGATGGGTTATTTAACAATCCTTTCCCAATTATAAACTTTTTGGGGGAAGTAATTGATCTATGAATAAAATTCTTTATCATATTTTTATTTATTTTTATTTATTTTTATTTTTATTTTTTATTATTATTTATTTTTTATACTATATTTGATATTTAATGGCATATGTGTTATTAATAAATAATAAAAAATAGTAAAGAAAATAAATTTCAATGCAAAATAATGCTAACTTCATTTTTATTTCCAATTTAAAATAAAAAAATAATAAATTTTTTAATAAAAATATTTTAACACCCCCCACCAAAAAATTATTACTTTTTTTTATTTTTTTAATTTGTTTTTTTTTAATAATAATTATTTTATTCATTTAATATATATTCATTTAATATTTATTCTTTAAATATTTTAAAAAAAAGATATACAATCATTTGAAACAAACTATCATATATGGAATTTATTTTTTCATTTTTATCATCAATACACCATCCCAAAAAAATGATATGCATATCATTTTTAAGAGAAGTGATTTATTTTGCACAACATAACACATTTGTGTGAAATTTATATAATTAAAATAGGAAATAGATAATCCCGAAAAACAAAATAAAACCCACGAGAATCACTTTTTAAACAAAGTATATTTAATGTATCTATCCCCTCAGTACATTCATTATAAATAAATTAATATAATTATTTTATTTAAAAAAAAAAAAAAAAAAAAAAAAAAAAAAAAAGGGTATAAAAGAAAATAAAAAAAAACAATTTAACAAATTAATAAAAAAAAAAAATGATTAAAAAATATATACTAATTTTAATTTTAATTTGTTTTCAATTAAAATATTCTAATTCCTTGACAACTGGATGTTCTTATGATTGGCAGTGCGGAAATACTCCTTACACTCTTTGTAAAACCAATAAAACTTCTCCTTTAGATAAGATTGATATTGACCCAGTTAACAATAGACTTTTATTTTCAATTAAATACAGTGATGAAAAAGAAAATAGAATTATTTCAATTCCCTTAAGTGGTAGTAATGGTTATGATGCAATAAGCCACACTACTATCTATGGTCAAGATACATACCAAATACTAACCGGTCTATCTCAATTAGTTGGTCCAAAATCATATGATATGATTGTATATGGTGGAAGAAGAATTATTGGTACCCAGAACTATGTATTTTATAAAAATAATACAATCGGTGTTTCTCTTGCCAGTGTCTCTGATAGTAATTATATCTTTGATGAAGATAATAACATTCAATATTCATGTTGGCCATATGGAAATAGAGTTAGCAGGGGTCCAATTAAAACAGAGGTTTCAAACCACCCAGTTTTATATTACGGTTGCACAGAAATAAAGAAATTTAATAATCAATTATTTATCTTAAATGGTGGCAAAATATATTCAGGATCATTTAATCCAACTACTCTCGGTACCTACACTGAAAACCTTCCAGTTGTATTTTCAACTAACGAATATGTTTATTCTTTTGAAGTCTCCTCAACTCATTTTTACTATGTTACCGGTTCATATTATAATTCAAGAAGTTATTACAAAGTACCAATCAATGACCCATCATCAAAAACTTTAATATATAGTGGATCTGGCCCAACAACATTCAAATATTATGATGGTTATATTTATTTGTCAAATAATAATCAAATCCTAAGAGTATCCGTTTCAAGTTTAGGTGTTCAAGTTTTATTCGACTTTGGATCCACAACATTCGGACATTGTATTTGTGCCCAAGGTTTTACAAGCTCATCAAATCCAAATGAACCAAAATGTTCAAAATGCGACCTCAGTACCAATATTGTAAGCTGGGTAAATGGAATTCCAAGATGTATCCCACTTGATTGGAAAGAACCCAAAAACCCAATTATATGCGACTATACATGGCAATGTAAATATGGCTACACTTGTAAAGAGAAAGTTTTATCTGGAACTAATACATGCCAATTATAAATAAAAAATAATAAATAATAAAATAAATAAAAATATTATTTAAACTATTATTAATTTATTTTATAAATTAATTTTTATTTAAACCATTTAATAATCTATTAATTGTTTTTTCTTTACCAAAAGTTTCAATTGCAACTGGTATACCACCACCAACAGAGGAACCTAATAATAAATAACGTAAATTGCTCATTAATTGGTTAACTTTAGCTGTTAATTCTTTTTCACTTAATTGTTGATCTTTATAAATATGATTTGAACAGGTTTGTTGAAGTGTTTTATAAATATTAGGAGCTGTAAAATCTTGGAGATTTTTTAATTGCTCAATAAAAGTAGTGATATTTTGCTTTGATTGTTCACCTTTCCAAACTTTAGATTTCATTTTTTGAGCTTCCTCTGAATTAAAATCGATTTGATCAACAAAAAATGGTTTTAAGAGGGGAACAAAATTTTCGATGATATGAACTCTTTCTTTTACACAATGAATTGCTTTTAATAAATATTCGTCACTTTCGCTTGACGATTGATTATAAAACTCTTTAATTTGCTCTTTAATAGTTGGTAAAATTAAATGATGAGTTGATGGATCATCCAATTGCTTTCTAATATGAACTACATTGAACCAATCTAATTTTTCCATATTTACAACACTACCACTTGTATTTAAACCATCCAATGAGAATTGATCGATTAATTCATTTAAAGTGAATACCTCTTGAGTGGTTTCATGTGGAGACCAACCTAATAATGCTACAAAATTAACCAATGCCTCTGGAAGGAAACCTTTTTCCATATAACTATCGACAGATACATCGCCTTGACGTTTTGAAAGTTTAGATTTATCTGTATTTAAAAGTAATGGTACATGAGCCATCTTTGGTGGTTGCCAACCAAATGCTTCATAGAGAACAATATGCTTTGGTGTACTATTTAACCACTCTTCACCTCTAATGACATGAGTAATACCCATAAGATGATCATCAACTACTGATGCTAAATGATAGGTTGGGAATCCATCTGATTTCATTAATACTTGATCATCGATTAATTGATTATTAAATGAAACTTTTCCTTTAACTATATCTGTAAAGTTGGTTGTTTTTTCTGATGGAATCTTTAAACGAATGGTATGTGGTTCATTATTTTTTAATCTATTTTCGATTTCTTCTTTTGAAAGTTTTAAACAGTGTCTATCATATAGAGACATACCATTTTGACCTTTTGAACCAATACGTGATATTGCTAAACGTTCTGGAGTACAAAAACAATGATAGGCATGACCTTCATCTAATAAACGTTGAGCATGTTCTTTATAAATTGGTAATCTTTCGGATTGAACATATGGTCCACAATTGCCTGGTCTTTCTGGTCCCTCATCGTATGGAATACCTGCCCATTCTAAACAATTTGCTAAATTCTTTGCTGACCCTTCTACAAAACGTGTTCTATCAGTATCTTCAATTCTTAATAAAAATGTTCCATTGTTCTTTTTTGCAAATAAATAATTAAATAATGCTGTTCTTAAACCACCTAAATGTAAATAACCTGTTGGACTTGGTGCATATCTAACTCTAATTTTATTTTCTTCATTTGTTTTTAATTGACTATTATTACTATTGTTATGGCCACAACATGATGAATGGTATCTATATTGTTGATTTAAAACACTATTATTAAAATAACCAAATCCTTTAAATTGGTTTATTATCTTTGGTGTATTTTTAATTTTTAAAATTTTAATCATTTTTTATATTTAATATAAAAAAATAAAAAATGAAATATAAAAAAAAATTATTTTTTAAAAACTAAAAACGAAAAAAAAAAAAAATTATTTTTTAAAAAAAAAAAATTATAATTTAAAGTATTATTTATTTACATTATTATTATTTTTCATTTAGTTTATTTAAATATAATATACTAGTTGATGAATCTATTCCTTGACTTTCTTCTATTAATTTTTGTTTTGAAATTTTATTCTTTTTAATTGAATCAATTAATTCGCATTGGGTTTGATAAATTGAACTTTCTTTACTTGTTTTTAATTTTAAACTATTGGTCTTTTTGGATCTAAAATAAAGGAGAAATATTAATACCTTTTTTTCCCACCACATAAGATAATTATAATTACAATTTTTCACATTCATTTAAAAGAATTCTTAACTTATAAATAACTTTTAAATCGTGGTCAATATCTTCTTGTTCTTCTTCCTCTTCACTTTCTTCATATCCTTCTTTTTCTTCCCCACTTCTATCATTTTCAATGTCCTCTAAGTCGAGGTCATCGTCTTCGTCCTCGTCTTCGTCATCATCCAAAAAACTGTGACCACTTTTAGTATGATTATTTGATATTGTAGAGCTAAAATTATCTTTTAATTCTTGAAACTGGTCTTTAATATTTGTTGATGTTTTAATGATTGAGTTTAAGTCTGTTGGTGAATGAATATCATCCATATCTAAACTAATATCATTATTTTCTATATATTCTTTATCTTCTTTATTTCGTTTGCCAGCATTATTTAATCCAATACTAAATAATTAAGATAGAAAATTCTTAGTATTTAATAATAAAAATATATATAATTAAATAAATTACTTTGACATTTCAAAACATTATAAATATTTGTTAAAAAAATAATATTGTTTTTTTGGATAATTGTTTGGTGTCTAAAAATGTAAAAATAAATATAAAATAAAATTAAAAAATAAAATTAAAAAAAAATGAAATTTTTGAAAATGAAAAAAAATTAAATTAAAAAAAAAGGGTGTTTAAATTATTATAATAATAGTCCATTTTTTTGGAATATTAGATTGGTTTTGTAAGATAAAATGCTTAAAATAACCTTTCTATTTTAAATTTACTATATATACATCTATTTTTTTTATTTTTATTGTTTTTTAATCTCTTTTTTTGTCGATTAAATATAATGAATCATTATATTTATAGTTATATAAAATCGTAATGGTATCATTTGTGTTGCTATTGTTCGTATTATTATATTGGGTTTTGTTTTGTTTGATTTGTTTGATTTGTTTGATTTGTTTAATTATAATTTATATATATTGACAAAATGGTTTTAAGCATCTTGTGATTTTCTTACAATTCTTTGAACTTTTTTGTTAAAAACCTCTCTTTGGGAACGCCATTCTTTAGCGGCATCGATATTAGCTGGAGATTCATCGTTTGGACTTGACAACATTGAAATAACTGAAATAAGAATAGACTCAACTGTGTGAACTGGTGTCCATCTTTCATTAGCTTTTTCATAACCATAAGCATCTTCACCTTCATGTAAAATTGAAATACAAACTTCACCCTCCTTATAAACATTTGGGTGCCACATTTCTGATGTAAACTTCATCTTTGGTGGTCTAATTTAATCAATAATAAATAGTTAGTAATTAATATCTATACTAATAATTAAGTTTGTGATATGTGAATATAAACTTACTTATCTGGATATTCTGGTGTGAATGTTAAAGTAGCATAAAAAATACCACCTTCATATGGGGTTTCTGATGGACCCATAATCATAATTTGCCATTCATAGATATTTGATTCATCAATTAAACCAGCGCTAAAACCTTCTATTGGATGTTTCTTTAAATCTAAATTTTTTTTAAAAATAAAAAAAAGAAAAGGAATTAGTAACCTTTAAAAAACCAGTATAAATAAGAATAATAGATTTAATAACATACGGGCAAGTTGTTTTTGTAAGAGAAGAGATGCTTTAGTTGACATTTTGTATAATTATTATTATTATTATTATTATTATTATTATTATTATTATTATTATTATTATTATTATTTTTATGTTATGTTATTTTATGTTATTAAACTATATATTAAACTTAATTAATAAATATATTTATATAAAAATCCTTTAAAAAGATTAAAAATTATACAAATAAAATAAATAAATGTGTGTTTGTGGTTTAAATTTTAAAAATAAATATAAAAAAAAATGAAAAAAAATAAAAATTTTATTTAAATAAAAAAAAAAAAAAATTTTAAAAAAATTTTTTTTTTTAAAATTAATAAAAAAAAAAAAAAAAGTAACCTATTTTTATGTTATCTCTTTTTCGTGGTACTGGACATTATCAACATAATAAAAGTGACAATGACAGATTAAAACCATCCACACTTATTATTTTATTTTTTTTTATATTAAAATAAAATTTTTAGGTTTTGTTTATTTTTTCAATTTGGGAATTAATAATAGTTTGGAGGATTACAACCCCCATATTTGCAATATTACTAAAAAGAATGTATAATAATAATTTTAATCTATAATTAACATTTTCCCCATCAAATATAATTTTTGTGTGTCTAAATTTGTTCCTTTCCACCCCTTTTTTTTTTTTCCACACCAAAAAACCCATTTTTTTTTTAAAATTGTTTTCAAATTATTTGTTGAAGCTATACTGATATTTCTTTGTTAAAATAACAGATATAATCAAAATTGTGCCTATAGCTTTTTTTAAAAAAAAAATGTATAAAAAGATTTTTTTTATTTTTTTTTTATTAAATATTAAATAATAACTACCCTAAAACTAAAAATGTTAAAATTGAGTAAGTAAAAATAATTATAATTAATATTATAAAATATAATAAATATTTTAAAACCTTACCATTCAGAATCAATAAATAAAAAATCAAAATCATATGCGTTACTTAATGAAGAAGAGGAACACTCACTTTCCGGTAATGAAGTTAGAAATCAAGTTTTATTCATTATTATCAATTCCTTATTACCAACCGTTCTAGGGTCAACTATCTTTCATCCATAGGCTTTAAAAAAATAAAAAAATAAAAACATAAAAAACTAGATTTACATAAATAACTTTAAGAATTTCTTTTTTTTCTATATAAAATAAACATTCTAATTTACGATATATCTAACAGAGATATTAATATCCAAGCTTTATCCAAAATATAAATATACCTATGAACCAAATCAAAGAAATAGTATTTATAAAAAAAAAAAAAAAATCGAATCTATTTATTTTTATTTGTATTTTATTTTTTATTTATTTATTTTAATCTTGCTCTTCACCATCCCATTCGTTTTTAATTAAATAATCGTCCTTTAAAACATCCCATTCTTCACCACCATCTTGGCCATATTCATCTTCATCACTTTCACTATCATCACCTGATTTCTTTACTTTACTATTCTTTAATGTTTCTAAAAATTGATTCTTTGAAACTAGAGATTTAAATTAAATTTAATTAGTATTTCTATTTAATCAATAATATATAATCATAATAACAACAAACTATAATATACATACTATTTTTTGATTTTGAATCTACTGAAGCGGTCATACCAGAAGATTGATGTTGAGTAACAGCGTTAAATAATTTAATAACACCCTTTTTAGCTAAACGTAATAAATCTCTTTCTTCAGGGGTTAATAGGATTTCAATTGGTTTATAATCTTTATTTTTTAATAACTCTTTTTCTAATTCTTTTTCTTTTTGAGCTTTTTTCTTTTCTTTTTCTTTTTGTATTTGTTGATTTAAAGTTTGTTGTGATTTTAAGAGAATTGGTGCACTATGGGATTCAATCTTTTTATTTGAACTTAAAATATTTGATAATTTATTTGATAATGCTTGTTTATCTTGCTCTAATCTATCTAATGGTTGTTGTGGTGCTGTTTGATCAGTTTTTA